TCCAGTTGGGACGTAGTCAGTCAGGAAAAAACAAATCACGCGTTTATACCAATAGTTTTCCCCTTTTGACGCGTTTTTTCCATGCCACATTTATGATGCATACCTAGTCCGCTACAATGTTGCAGGTAGCATATATGGTCATAAATCATTTAGAATGCGTACGTCAGCTAAAACGGAACAAAAAATACAATAGCAAAAACCACTACCATTCCACCATTGCACTTGTTTTTTATATGTCCTAAAATCGTGCGATACATTTCCTAGCAAAGTGATAATTTTCACGCACAATGTCGTTTGTGTTGAATTTATTAGCACATGCATTCGATTATACGATTCCGCTTGATAGACATACATACATTTAATGGAACTGTGGAGCCATTATAGTTAGAATTTTTACTTTGAGGCTGAATCTGGACAGTATTGATGCTGCACTGAATCTTTAGAGTCTATTTATTGGTTTCTTGGTAAACTACCGAAGCCGATACTCGAGTCTCATAATTGCTCTAAATTGCCTTCATTTATACGTCGAAGCGCATACGTGTTTCAACTAAGGTCTGAGGTCACGCGTCCTCCATTTTTGATGGGTTATGGTAAAACCTGGCTTAAAACCCAATTTTTTCAATTCTAATAAGGAAGGTACAAAAATCCTTCTGACAATCTTTTGTAATTATACATAAATAATCTGAAGCGTGCCGGATGGCTAAAGTTATTTCGGATTTGAAGATTACACTACACTTTCATCGTTTCTTCTACTCTAACTTAATTTTTATTTCCTTGATCAACCTTACACTTTTTTTTTTTTTTTTCTAACTAACTAACTCGTAACTTCCAATCGACGACTCACTCATGAACGGCGCCGGTGGTGTAGTGGTAAGCGTGATTACCTCTCACCCCAGCAGGCCTGGGTTCAATCCCAGTCGGCGCCGCCGGGATGTTCTGAGGCATAACATCTCTGATCACGCCTTCCTTCGGATGGGAAGTAAAGCCGTTGGTCCCCGGTTCATGAGTTGATGGGTCGATAGGTAGGGTCCAGGTGTGGGAGCTGCCTTCCTGGCACGTCGGTAGCATTGGTGCTCAGCACGGAAAACAAGATCGACGGAAAAAACAAACCAAAGGAAACCAAAGGACTCACTCATGACTTCTCTTGACTAACCAGTCACCACTCAACACGGAGAACCAAAACTACCCAACGGTTGAGTTCTTTAAACTTACTTTTGAGTTGATGCCTCTCACTTGATGTTGTCAAAAACGAAAAGAGCAAAACAACCCAAAACGTGCTTAACTTTTTGACTCAGCTCTGGTACTATCTTCGGTCCCAAGCTAATCGATGCACCCTTCGAAACATAGTAAAATCCACGAGCCCCTCATTTTATCGGTCAAACTTTCTTTGCGAATCAAAACAAACATAGTGTAGTACTAGAATTTTGACTTGAATGGGGTACGCTTATAGATGTACTTGGGACCAATAGGTTAGTCAAGTAGTGAGCCAATCTAAAATCGTTAGTTTCCACTGGTTGATTCAGCTTCTTCATATTATAACAATGAGCTAGTTTCATAACATGATTCCTCGCTAGAGACTTCCGTTCATATCATAAGGCCGTGGTTTGTAGTCCACCCCAGCCACAGACAAACAGACATAGCACATTGAATATTTCTCACTGTAAAACATCGTCGCCAAAACATAACCGCCATCTGTTGAGTACACTGTAGTGGGCACTACGCTGAACAGATTGCTGAACAGAATTGTCCGTTAAATGCTTGTTCGATGAACAACTTGCGAGTGTTATGTCTGTTTGTCTGTGCCCCAGCCTTCCCTATCTGTTTTACTTTATTTGCTTACCATAAGAAAAAACTCGCAAAACTAAAGAACTGTTTCCAATACATTTCCACTCAATTACCGGTCAGTGCCAGTCAGATTATCGAAAATTACTCTGATTATTACAAATATTTTTTTTTTTTTTCTTGATTTGATTTTCGTCGATCTTGTTTTCCGTGCTGAGCACCAATGCTACCGACACCAGGAAGGCAGCTCCCACACCTGGACCCTACCTATCGACCCATCAACTCATGGACCGGGGACCAACGGCTTTACTTCCCATCCGAAGGAAGGCGTGATCAGAGATGTTATGCCTCAGAACATCCCGGCGGCGCCGACTGAGATTGAACCCAGACCTGCTGGGGTTAGAGGTAATCACGCTTACCACAACAACACCGGCACCGCTACATCAATTGATTAAAATTACTTTATGTCTTTGAAATTCCTTTTATTACTCTTGATTACCGAAATTACTACGATTACTTTAATAATTTTAGTAATTACTTTAGAATTACTCAATTATTAAATGATTTACAATTTTGGCAATCGGAATTTGAAAGTTTTAATGTAAATACTTCTTCTTCTTCTTCTTCTTCTTCTTTTTTCCTTTATTTAACGTCGGTCTCTGTTCCGCAATCTAGTGCCAATCACCGACGGACATCGATTGCCATCCATTGACGGCAATCGAATGTGCAGGAAGGCAGCTTCCGCACCTGCGTAGGATATCGCACCCATTCAACATACATGGGCCGGGACCAACGGCTTTACTTCCCTTCCGAATTTCTCGCTTAGGTCATAGAAGATGATGTTAGCTATAATAGTCGCTATATTCATATCCTAGCGGAGAGAATCTCGGGAACTAATTGAGCTGTCAAATCACTACCAACAACAGAAAAGAGCACATCAGCTATTGCGAACAAAACATTCGGAACCCGACATTTTTTTACGAAATTTTTTTCTGACACCCAAAAACCCTCCAAATCACGATTAGAGCAGTATTTACGGAGATATATCGATTTAAAGATTTTCATACCCGCAAGACTGAAATTAATGGGATGGGACATTTTTTTACGAAATTTTTTTCTGACACCTAAAAACCCTCCAAATCTCGATTAGAACAGTATTTACTGAGATAAAGCGATTTAAAGATTTTCATACCCGCCAGCCTGAAAATAATATGCTGGGACATTTATTTTACGAAAAAAAATTCTGACACCTAAAAACCCTCCTAATTACGATTAGAGCAGTATTTACGGAGATAAAGCGATTTAAAGATTTTCATACCCGCAAGACTGAAAATAATGGGCTGAGACATTTTTTTTTCGGAAATTTTTTCTGACACCTAAAGAACCCTCCAAATCTCGATTAGAGCAGTATTTACGGAGATAAAGCGATTTAAAGATTTTCATACCCGCCCGCCTGAAAATAATATGCCAATTTCGCTCGCGCTACGTTTTCTAATTTACGGTAAATTTTGCTTGCATTGAAAGTGTTACACGATCATCTTTTTTTCAGCCAAATTTCGTTATTTATTGTATGATCATTTATGTAATTTAGTTGAGAAAATTTGATGAATAGATTTTGTTATTAGAGTATTTTGAATCAAAGCCTCTCCTGATAGATTTAGTCTAGTGAATATGTACCATTTTCACTCGCCATGGTTCAAATCATTCATTATTTTTGTTTTTTTACGTAGGACTACCTACGTCTTTAATTTCTATACTGGGGGTCACATTAAAAAAAACCACTCGAACAAAATTTCTCTAAAAACTAGTGAAAAGATTCCTATTCGACTTAAGTGGCACTAACGGCTGTCACTTCCCCACTTAAAACCCCTCTTTAACAACCAACCTGATAGCGCTGGCGTTGCACAACTTAGGCTCTGAACCATTTGGTGGATTATTTTAACTTTTGGTTAAAATTTGACAGATGGAAAGTTATCGATTAACCCTGCTATTCGAGCGTGGTTATTTCTGACAGACAAGAAGTTAAATTTTGACGACCGTGGCTCGAAAACCGGTCGATCGGGGATTTTCGAACATAAGAAATAACTTTCGAAATGTCACTTTTAACTACGAGTTAAATTTAACTCGGCAAATGGTTCACAGCCTTAAGGCTGGCGCACAATTTAAATGTTTCCGGGTTTTTTGACAAATAATGCATGTGCTAACTGTCAAAAAACCTGAAAACTTATCCATTGTGCGCCGGCCTTAACACTAGACAATATGCGAAGACAACAAATCAAGAAGACTGGCAACTCTTCCATTTTCTCATACAAACGCTATGAGACAGGTACAATCGCGTCATCTGCCGCACAAAGGTAAATGCTTCGAACGAATTTGATAGCAAAGATTACATCCTCAGAAGAAGGGTTTGTTCATCGAACAAGCATTTAACGGTCAATTTAAAAGTATCTTAGTTGGTAGCACCGCCACCTGTGGCGCGCATAGTAAATTCCCTTGTGTTTGACGTTTACACACCACCGCCATCTGTTCAGCGTACTACCTACCACAGTGTACTCAACAGATGGCGGTAATGTTTTAGCGACGATGTTTTACAGTGAGAAATATTCAATATGTTATGTCTGTTTGTCTGTGGTTTGTGTATTTGTTCATTTTTCTATGCGTTGCTTCCACCTTCAGTCAAGTGCAGCGCTACTGTATCTGTCGCTTAGATTCTGGCAAAGTTGCCAGTCTTCTTGATGTGTTGTCTTCGCAATATGGGTTGGTAGCCAAGTGACATTTTACAACAGAAAATTTATCGATACTAGCGCCAAATTGGTAGAAAGTGGAACATTTATAGAGGAAATCAGGAGATGCTAGCGCCACGTAACGGCGATGTTCCCACTTATCTTTACACAAGTTTCTGGTGGAAGTTGGGACGTCTGTTCTCTCTGGTGAGATAGATAGAAATATGAGTTATTTTTATTTGCCGTGCTCAGAACCAACGTGACATCTGGTGGTTGAAAATTTGATGAAAAAATTACCATAGATGCTGCTTCAATCGTCAGACAGATAAGTATTTGACTGTCCTCTTGTGACAACTCGATAATACTTAATCAACGACACACACTTTTGTATCAATTTCCCCGCGAGAGCACTCACCAATAGCTCGAAAGATGATACAACATAAAAACTTACCAACACCAACACGCACTGCTTTCGCTTTGACAGTAGCCGTCATTGAAGAAGAGAAAAGATTTTTATCAGGCGCTGTTGTTCGTGTTACAAAAAGTGCTATTTTTCTAAGAAAAAGCCCCGTACGACCTCTTAAATTAGCGTTCAAACGTGCATTGTGTTGTTTTGCAGCAGTTTCGCGTATGAATTGGTCGGCGGAACGTGGAATTCGTGGTGAAAATTTCGATTTTGTGAACACCAAGTAAGAGACACTGTCCGGTTGGTGTTGGATGCAGCGAGCGAAGAGGTGTGTGTGTGCTAGAGCGAAACAGCACTACTGCTGAATTATTTCGAGGTTAGATTAGTGTTGGATTGGTCCGTTTATGTTTGCAAACTTTGGCTGGTGATCGGGTAGTTTGAGTTTATTATTACTTTTGTAGTTTTTATTGAATTAAAGTGATTTTTCATTTTAGATAAAAGAGAAATTGAGATTGCGAAATGAAACGCAAATCTGGAAATGATTTAACCACTCAAACCCTGTTGGATTTTGATCTGGGTGAGAGTTCCTCGGATTCGGATTTCAGGATCGAAGACCATGACGACGACAGTGATGATTTCTCCGCCAATAGCAAGGATGAAGACGATGGAGACGATGACGGTGATGACGATGATGATGGCGACGACGATGACGATGCTAGCGATGCCGGGGAAGATGAAGAAGATGCTACCGATAGCGGGACAACCGGAAGTAATTCTAAAGTTGCTGAGATGCCTAAGCCGGGAGTTTTACCGGAAAAGCCAGTTAGCTTGGAAGAAGTGCTCAAGAAAAGTGTGAAGGGAGTAGATAAAGCGACATTGAAGTTATTATCTACTCCAATTTGCTGTGCATGTTTAGGTGATCGGAGTGATGATCAGAATGAAATTGTGGAATGCGATGGATGCGGTGTGACGGTCCATGAAGGTTGCTACGGGGTAAGCGAAAGCACTAGCATTAGCAGTACAATTTCTTCATGTTCGACGGAACCTTGGTTTTGCGAAGCCTGCAAAGCAGGTATAGCGGATCCCGATTGTGAACTGTGTCCAAATAAAGGAGGAATCTTCAAAGAGACAGACGTCGGTAAGTGGGTTCATCTAGTGTGTGCTCTTTATGTTCCAGGAGTTGCCTTTGGAGAAGTTGATCAACTTTCGTCTGTCACACTGTTTGAAATGCCCTACAACAAATGGGGTGCCAAAACATGTAGCCTATGTGACGATGCTAAATTTGCCAGAACAGGTGTTTGTATCGGATGCGATGCCGGCATGTGTAAGACCTATTTCCACGTAACTTGCGCTCAATATGCAGGACTACTGTCGGAGGCCCACTCGGAAGAAGCAGATCAAGCAGACCCATTCTATGCGCACTGTAGGATTCATTCGGACAAAACTCTCATAAAGCATAGAAAACGTAATTATAATGCTATCAAATTGAAAGCCTACAACAGAAAGCTGGAACAAGAAGCAAATAAACTAGAGAAACCTTCTCCGGAACAGGTTCGCATTGAACGCAAGCTAGCCAAACATAGGAAAAAGTATGTCAATCACAAAGAAACCAAAAACCCACCATGGGTTCCAACACAGAAAATGCCACGACTGCTAACTACTAGTGCCACTGCATGCAAAAAGCTTCTAATGAAAGCTGAGCTCATGGGAATCGACACGGCTGCAATGGAATTCCAAGAAGCTCAAATGACAGCATTGGCAGACGTTCGTAAGAAATGGCACATTCCACCGGCATTTAGTGTTGAGTTTATCGGGTATTATTTAGACCGAACCGTTCGATTGAAAGAGATCAAAAAAACCCTTCAGGAACAAGTCACATCAAACCAGAACCTGTTAGGAGAACAGCAACGGTTACGGGATAAGTATGATTCAGCCATGAAGATAAATCAAGAAGCATTGAATCAGAATGATGATTTGAAAGATGCAATCAAGAAGTTATACGACGATATCCATGCTCTCTGCCCCAGCAAGGCGCTGATTCCGATTGAACAAATTGGAAAACCTCCGTCTGTGCCACCCATTCAAAACCCAAACGTAATAATAAATACACCCAGTTCGACTCCCCCAGCGAGGACTATTACTGTGCCAACGGCTGCCGCTCTCAAGATGGGAGTTGGTTTTCCGTTGCAAAATCTCATTGCACCGGGCAAACGCGATGACACCGGACGAATTCTGAGTACCCAGTGCAAACAGAACAGCGAGGAATTATTGAACGAGTGTGGAATCTGTAAGCGTTGCTCGGATCAGCACCTTTTGGCTAAATGTGACACATGTCACCTGTATTACCATCTTGGGTGTTTGAATCCTCCACTAACTAGGCATCCGAAAAAGTCAAAACTGTACGGTTGGCAATGTTCCGAATGTGATAAATCCGATGACTCAGGTCCAGAGCATGTCATACTGCCAAAGGCCCCTAGGAAATCTCGAACACGCTACAGCAAAGATGGTATCATTGTTCCGTACGATATGCCGTCACCCGAATTTGAAAGGTCTCCGGAAAGTGCTTCAAAACGACCTCGTAAAAGCGGACCTAGTGGAAATACTAGTGCCGCTGAAAATAGCCCCACAAAAACAACTCTCACTGTAGCCGCCGTCAATGGAATAGAAACTAAGGAAGTTTTCCTGGAAATTCCGAAGATAGATTTAGAACTAGCCGATAAACTAAGTTCTGGAGAAACATCGATTGAAATACCTAGCAAAGTAACCGCTAAACGAGGTCGCAAAAAGAAAAGTATCGAAACGGCTGTAGAAACCAAAAATCCCATCAAAGAAGAGGTTACAGAGGCAGAATTAAAAAATGAACCTGCACCGCCGCCCATTGAACCAACTTCTAAGGTGCCAGAAATGCCCAAAGATGAACGTCCTAAACCGGAACCTGCAGAAGTCAACCCCAAGGAGATCAAGAAAGAGAAAAAGAAGGACAAACAGAAATTGCAATTAACTCCGACACCAGATGCAAAGGAAGATTTTACATCAGCCGCAAAACCATCTGCAGAAGGTGCCGATAGCATTATATCGGTGTCTTCACGGGAAACAATCCCCACTGCGACGGAGTCCACTACAACCGTCTCTGCCGTTTCTGTCGAATCCATCCAACCAACAACTGAGCAGGTTGTCCCTTTAGTTCCAATACCACCGGCAGCCGTAGAGGCGGAAACTTTCGCTGCCGGGGCTCCTTTCCACAGCCACTCGCACAAACACAGCAAACGAAAAAAGGAAAAACATCGAAATCGGTCCCCGCACGAAGACGGGTCGCCAACAAAAGAGCACAAACGGAAACGGAAGCGGAAGAACCACGATATCGAAAATCCCAACGATGCCAGTGGAAGCGGCGGAAGCAGCGCCCCACTTGCTGTGTGTTCTGTTCCGTCGGACGACAATAGACCCCGGATCAAAATCAAGGTTTGACTTTATCGTCTATTTTGAATGAAATTAACCTTCAACAAGAATTTTGTTTTCAGATCAAATCGGTGCTGGATGGTTCTAATACTCATACAATATTCTACGTTCCAAACGATAGCATAGAGCCACCCCGACCTTCTACAAGCAGCGAGTCTGTAGTGGTAAGTTCATTCCGAGGTAGCAGTCTATTTATGTTTCTCAAACGTAAAATTAATATTTCAGACGAGCACACCCCTCACATCTCCGACTAACGTTTCCGTCACAAAAATACAGAGCAAACCCGATCCTATTAAGGCTAGCAGTTCTGCTGTGGCTATAGTGGCCCCGACCAAATCGCCAGTACCGGCCCCAGTTCCTGTTTCCGTTTCCGCTCCTACTATTGGAGCGAAACCTCCATCAGTTTCTGGACGCGGTCGAGGAAGACGGCTCAGTATCATCAGACCAAACCGAGCTAGCACATCGCTCAATTCATCCTCTTCTGTTGGAAACAACTTATCGGCCGCTGGCGGCGAATCCATGTGCGATGTCTGTCATACACCCGGAAGTACCAACAATATAGTGCAGTATGGCTTCATTGTTGCATTTGTGCAGGTGGAAGCGAGTAATAATAAGAGAAATTTATTTTAGGTGTGACGAATGTCATAAAAACTACCACTTCGGCTGTCTGGACCCACCGGTAAAGAAATCTCCAAAGCGTCGTGGATACTCTTGGCACTGTGCTGATTGTGATCCGACGGTAAGTTTTCTTTTATGAATGAAACAGTATTTAGGTAACATGTTTTGCAATCCTATTATCACAGACAAACAGACATAACACTCGCAAGTTGTTCATCGAACAAGCATTTAACGGTCAATTTAAAAGTATCGAAGTTGGTAGTACCGCCACCTGTGGCGCGCATAGTCAATTCCCTTGCGTTTGACGTTTTCACACGACCGCTATCTGTTCAGCGTACTACCCACCACAGTGTACTCAACAGATGGCGGTAATGTTTTAGCGACGATGTTTTACCATGAGAAATATTCAATGTGTTATGTCTTTTTGTCTGTGGCGATGGTGTTTTAGCAGCTAAAAAAAAGTTTTAATCTGTGATCTCGATATCGTCCTTGTAAATAGAGATTAGTGACGTTTAACGCGCGCACACTAGCGGGAGCAACGCCGTGTACAGTTGTTTATTATTTTCCTCTGGCTAACCTAAAAAATGTATGAAAGTAGATCTGTCAAAATGAGTTTGACATCGATTTGTTATGTGTTTTCCTCGGATATTCACTAGCACGCTCTCATATATCCTACCAATACAACCAGACGTGAAAACCTCTATTGACTAAATTGACCTACGATATAAAAATAAAAATCAGTTAGCTTTGTTTAGCGCATTTTGTCGACTATACTGGGGTGCAAATCAAAAAATATTTATAGAAATAGTGTTAGGTTTTGAACGTTTATAACAAATACGTCAATCGATAGGAAATTACTTTACGAATCTAAATAGATTGTTTTCAATAAAAAAAACTTGAAAAATGTGCAAATGATAATATTATCATGTTTTCTGAAATAAACGTTTTCCCCAAACCCAGTCATCATAATCGAGTACCATTTGGTTGTACATCGTTCTGTTTGAACCTAAAAAGATTTAAAACAGCGCTGGTGTCGTTTTTTTTTTTCTTTCTTATGAGATTTTTAGCCGCAGGCTAGTTTATCTCCGTAAAGAGTGGAAAGCCTTAGAAAGAGGTCCCCCAGTCAAATTGCTTGAGTATCATGCTACTTCAACCTTTTATAATCTACTTAGCTAAACATATAAACAGCTAGAACAATAACTATAACTATGTATACAAAACACGCCCCCCCTCCTTATATCCCTACACTCACAACCTGAAAGTAAACAAGCTACAATTAAATAAAATTAATTCCATTATTGTTTTACTAGAAAGCCAAAACATTCAAATTTGAGAAAAAATTCGCTCACTATGATAATTGTTATTTATCAACAACTGACTGTAAAACATATCTGGTACCTCTATAGATGCAATTCTATTAACATCCGAAGTCCATCCTTTTTTACTTACTTACTTATGTGCAGACAAAAGATACTTTCTGACCCGCCCCATTAATTAAAAAAATCCGCGGGAAATCCTGTCAGGGGCGGAGCTTAGAAAGTATTTTTTAAGCAGAATATGTAAAACAGGATGGACTTCGGATGTTAATCTAATTGCATATAAGAGGTACCAAATATGGGATGGTGCATTAATTATGTCACGCAAATTTGGCCCATTTTCAATCCCCCCTCCCCCCTTTGTCACATTTTTTGTATGGACCTTAATTTTTTTTTTTTTTTTTTTTTTGTATGGCTCGTCACAGTTTTTAAAACCAAATGTCCATATATGCATAGGAAAAACACGGCATACATTTAGACGCAGTGCGCTGTCATTTATGACATAAATAGGTCCAACCAAAATCCATTTTCCCCAAACTCGGGCAAGTTGAAACGGTAGATGTAGCTCTTTTCGGAAGTGAACATTCACTGAGATTATATCTAATATAGTTTGCGGTAGTACATAATGCCTCTCAAAAATAATTACAGTGAATATTCACTTCCAAAGAGATATACGTACTGTTTCAACTTGCACCGGTATACCTTAACTATGATGTTTACTATCAAAACATTAAACAGGTGGAGAACCTGTATCCAAGCTTTTGCTCTGACTTTCAAATTCAATAGCTGAATCCCCTAATTTTCAATTAATGTTGTACTAAGCAACTACTTATTGGAAACCAGATGTTTGATTTGAGAATAAAAGTCACAGTATTCTATTTTGCATCATTCTACGAACACGCTGTTAAGTACATAATGATGATGCATGATCATTTTATGTTAGGGTTGTCCTCCAAATTGCCCCTTCCTCCCCTACTCCGCTAACATATGAACCAACATTTTGTTCAATATTGAAAGTACCGTCTTCTGACAAGGAAAACACAACTGCGTGTTGCGTTATCAGACAGAGCAGCTACAGAGACCTAATTTAAAACTAATGATGGAGCTACTGAAAAAAATTAACGTATTTGTTGACAATTGTTTTATCTCTTAACATGCATGGCGTCTTTGTGGACTATACTAGGTGCTACTCCAAAATATATAACGGCTTGTTTAGGACCCTGAATGTTACTTCGGTCATTCGAAAAGCAATCGAATCAACTATGAAATTCATTGTACCTATTCATTGTTTTTTTTTTCTTACAAATTCATTACAGTCAACTCTCCACAACACAATGTCAACTAACTCGATATCGCGTTATATAACCATATTAAACATTAATTTCATGGCTACATAGCGATTTTGTATGGGATTGTTATTCTATAACTCGATGGTCCCTTGAATATCGAGTTGTAGCATGTTGTAGTGAGTTCACTGTATATACATCGAAACAAACAATCCAATAACTTCTCTACACTGAAACAAAATCCATTGGAAAAAATACTATATTGCTGGTTTAAATTAAATACCTTCACCAATAGATTTTTGCAGAAAACCCTCCTGTTGGGAGCAACACCGCTGGGCTTACCTATTGCCCCTGGAGAAAAGTGCGATCGAGAGAGTGACGGACCGATTTGACTCATACAGATAAGGAAAATAAAAATTTGGACTGTCAGTCATCGAGATCAAGTTCATCATCAAATTGCAAGTCACGCGGTTCAGGTCGAAGGTTTAATATTAAAATTATCACAGTTATTTGAAATTCCTAGTTCTAAATTTGTTATTCTAGTGAAAATCAAACAGATAAAATTCGACGGCTACAGAGGTTAAAATCACACATAAAAACAAGTAGTACGAGGGAAATTTGTCTACAGGAGGAAAACTATCTCTTTGATCTGCTCAACAAGAGTTTGATACGAAGATTGTTTTACGTGATCCGAACATTATCAAAGAGATACGATTCGGATAACCTCAAAAGATGGATGCTTTGTCGAACAGAGATTGTTTGCTGTGTGATGCACCGGATGGGGCTGACGAAAACATGGTGCAGTGCGACGACTGCAAGCTGTGGGTGCATTTTCGTTGTGCCGAAGTTGATGAGAGCATACGGGATAAACCATGGAGCTGTCCACAGTGCATGAATCGGCTACGTGTTCCGGAGCAAACGAAGCAGAAGAAATCTACCAAGAAGTCTGGATCTGGATCTAAGAGCGATGCTGGATCCGTGAAAAGCCTGGTTTCGGTGATAGAGGAGCTGGAGAAGGAACAGTTTGCTAAAGAGAAGGCTTTAGAGGAAGAAAGAGTCGTGCGTGAGAAGCGGATGGAGATGGAAAAAGTCCTAAAGGAAAAGCGTATGAAGTTCGAAAGGGAAATGCGAGAGAAGGAATTGAAGCAGGAACGCGAGCTGCAGGAGAAAGAACTTCTACAGGAGCGAGAAATGCTTGAAAGGAGGCTGGCTGCCGAGGAAGATTTCCTTAAGAAACAACATACGTTGCGCGAGCGGTTCCAAAATGCGAAGGAGAAGGTTTCGGGTGGATGGAAAGAAACGGATGGTGCCGTTGGTGGACACCGTACCGCTCAACAGAATACTGACCTGGAGCCGTCGGTAGGTTTAACCAAGTCTGAGGTTGAACACATGGTGCAAAATTGGCTGCAGAACAATGGTACGGCTCACACGAAATATCCTCTAGGAGCGTATCCCAAAGGAACGGTGGTGCAAGAAAATACGGTGCATTCGAAGAAGAAGCTGTCGAAACTGGAGCAACTCAAGGCGCTGCTGGAACAAGAGGATTCTCAAGAAGAGGAGGATAGCAAAACGATGTGTAGCTCCGATGACGAGGAATCACACAAGACATCGGTTACGCAGAGAAAGGATAAACGGCACAGAGGCAACGGGTCGGGGCAGCGGTTGAGTCAAGAACAACTCGCTGCACGGCAGTATATGTCCAAGCAGCTCCCAATCTTCAAAGGAGAGCCTGAAGTCTGGCCGTTATTTATAAGCAGCTTTGAGAACACCACCAATGCGTGTGGTTTTTCGAACCTGGACAATCTGAAAAGACTACAAGACTGTTTGCAAGGTGAGGCACTAGAAGCTGTCAGAAGTCGTCTGGTTATGCCAGAATCCGTTCCGGACGTACTCAACGATCTCCGAAACCTTTTCGGGAAGCCAGAAAAGCTTCTTAAAGCGCTATTAACTAAGGTTCGAAAGGCTCCGTCGCCGAAAATCGAGCAACTTGGAACCTTCATCCATTTCGGAATAACCGTGAAACAGTTATGCGACCATTTGGAGGCAGCTGGGCTAGCAGACCATTTGAATAACCCCATGCTGGTCCAGGAACTGGTGGATAAGCTTCCGCCAAGTTACAAGTTGGATTGGGTACGCTACAAGAGGTACAGTCGTGGTACCCCACTGCGAATGTTCACTGATTTCATCAGCGATGTGGTTTCGGATGTGTCGGAAGTGGCAGACTACACGGGGGCGAATCTTCGTGAAGCAGTACTTGCAAGAAACCGCAACGATAAAAGGAAGGAGTTTGTTCACATGCACAACACTTCCTCCAAGGGTGAGACACCACAGGGTAATAAGGTGGCCAAGCCTTGCTGGATGTGTAAGAGGTTGGATCATAAGGTAAGGTTTTGCGACGATTTTAAAAAACTGAATGTTACGGAACGATTGAGGCTGGTAGAGAACCTGAAGCTGTGCGTATTGTGTTTAAACGCCCATGGGAAAAGCCGATGCAGCTTCAAGTTGCGCTGCAATGTGGGTGATTGTCAGGAGTACCACCACCCCCTTTTGCATCGTGCTCGGGAATCGGTTCAAGTGGTAGAATGCAATGCACATAACCGTTTAAATCGGTCGGTCATCTTTAGAATGGTACCAGTAACGCTCTCGGTGGGGGATTTGTCACTAGATACACTGGCGTTCCTCGATGAAGGCTCATCCGTGACATTAGTGGAGGACATCGTCGTAAACCATCTCCAGGTGAAAGGCGTTCCGGAACCGTTGATAGTATCGTGGACCGGGAATATGAAACGGTATGAAGACGGCTCCAGGCGGGTTAATTTGATGCTAGCGGCGAGAGGTTCTAGTCAGAAGTTGCTGATACAAGGGGCACGTACAGTGTCCGAATTAGTTCTGCCAAAACAAGATGTGCGATTCCAGGATATCACCGAGCGCTATCCCCACCTGCGTGATTTGCCCATAATGGAATCGGGACCCGACGAGCCGAAAATCATGATTGGTTTGGATAATCTGCACATCTTTGCACCACTGGAGTCGAGGATAGGTCAACCTGGAGAACCGATCGGAGTCAGGACAAAGTTGGGGTGGACAATTTACGGTCCTGAAAAGCTGATTAGGATGGAGGATGCTCGTGTAAACTTTCACACTACCTGTTCCGTGACCAACCAAGAGCTGCATGATATAATTCGTGTGCAGTACAGTCTCGAAGAAATGGGTGTCCCGGCCTCCGCTGTTCCAGAATCCAACGAAGATCGTCGGGCGCGAGAAATCCTACGAACGACTACAACTCGTGTCGGTGACCAGTTTGAGACAGGTTTGCTCTGGCGACGTGATGCAAGAAGCTTTCCTGACAGCTACGGAATGGCGAAACGACGATTGATAGGTTTAGAGCGAAAGTTGGCAAAGGATCCTCAGCTGCAGGAGGTTGTAAGGCGCCAAATTAAGGAATATCAAATGAAGAAGTATGCGCACATAGCTACGCAAGAGGAGCTGGCCAAATCCGATCCAGCCACAGTATGGTATCTACCACTAAATGTGGTTAAACATCCCCACAAGCCTGAAAAGGTACGCCTCGTGTGGGACGCTGCAGCGAGAGTCCAAGGTGTTTCGCTGAACTCGGAGTTGCTCAAGGGTCCTGACATGCTGTCTCCGCTTCCGTCCGTACTCAGTCCTTTCCGAGAGCGCCGTGTTGGATTTGGTGGTGACGTGAAAGAAATGTACCACCAATTAAGGATACGGAAGGAAGACAAACAGGCTCAACGCTTTCTTTTCTTTACCGAACCGGGAGACTCTGAGCCGCAGGTTTATGTTATGGATGTTGCGACATTTGGATCAACTTGCTCGCCGTGCTCCGCTCAGTTTATAAAGAACTTAAACGCGGAGGAGTTTTCCGGACAATTTCCGGATGCTTTCGACGCTATAACAAACCGTCATTACGTAGATGATTACTACGATAGCGCGGACACTCCGTCAGAAGCAGTGAAGCTGGCCAAGGAAGTTAAATATGTGCACTCGAGAGGAGGATTCCATATTCGGAATTGGGTGAGCAATTCGGAAGCATTCGTTCAAGAAATGGGTGAAGAAGACATTGTCCATACCGTCCATTTGAAAGATAAAGCTGCTGGTACTGATCGAGTTCTCGGAATCATCTGGAACACGAAAGACGATACCTTTTCGTTCGTCGCTCCATCCCGGAAGAACGATGACGAGCATCCGACCAAACGTGGCATCCTGAGCTGTGTCATGTCGGTGTTTGATCCAATGGGCCTCTTGTCACCGTTCACAGTGCTCGGTAAAATGCTCATACAGGATTTGTGGAGAACTGGGTGTGAATGGGATGCACCTATTGACAAAATTTCGCTCGTTAAGTGGCAGAACTGGGTCCAGCAGATGTCGATGATCGAAGCGGTGAGAATTCCAAGAGCATATTTCGGAGATGCAACAACAGATCAGCTGCGCGAAATACAATTACATGTGTTTACCGACGCTAGCGAAGCCGCTTACGGTTGCGCTGCATACTTTCGGGTCGTGGTGCGTGGAGAGGTTCGATGTGTTTTGGTGATGAGCCGCACGAAAGTGGCGCCGCTTAAGCAATTAACAGTTCCACGATTGGAGCTCCAAGCCGCGGTGTTGGGAGCGAGACTAGCGAAGATGGTATGCAGCAATCACAGAATCGTAATCACGAAGCAAATTTTCTGGTGCGATTCACAGACAGTACTTTCCTGGATACGTTCCGATCAGCGTAGGTATAAGCCTTTTGTGGGATTTCGAATTGGCGAAATTCTGGAACTCACAAGGTTGTCGGATTGGCGATGGGTGCCGACAAATCACAACGTTGCAGATAAGCTAACGAAGAAGAGCCGTGAATGGGATTTCGAGGTGGGCAGCACCTGGTTTAACGGTCCAAAGTTCTTGTACCAAGATGAAGCGGAATGGCCACAGCAACCTGCGATACCAACAATCGTCGAGGAAGATCTGAGAGCCGTCTACCTATTCCATGACATTGCTATACCGCAACCCCTAGTAGATGTTCAGCGAATCGATAAGTGGACCGTGTTGGTGCGCGTGATGGCATGCGTGTTTCGCTTCATTTCAAATTGTAAAATAAAGAAAGAAGGGTTGCCGATTGAGACTCTCAAACCGACAAAACAACAAGAAAAGGTATTGCTCAATTGCGGAACAGCGATTCGGACACCGTTGAAACAGGACGAATTCCGTAAAGCAGAGTGTTTCCTGATAAAAACTGCTCAGGCGGAGGCATACGCGGACGAGCTTAAAGTGTTGCTGAAAAATCAAGGACAGCCTTCGGATCGATGGTACGCGTTGGAGAAATCCAGCCCACTTTACAAGATTACGCCGATGATCGATAGTGATGGAATCATTCGCATGGAAGGAAGAGCAAAGGACGCCGAGGCATTGCCGTTTGATCTACGCTTCCCCATCATTCTTCCAAAGGGTCATGAAGTGACAAGAAAGTTGGTTCAGCATTACCACAAAAGGTGTGGACATACCTTTCGCGAAACTGTAAAAAATTACCTACGTCAACGCTACTACATTGAGAACGTTAATGCAGTCGTGAAGAAGGTGTCAGCCAGTTGCATTTGGTGCAAGGTGCACCGGAATCAACCTAGAATTCCTAGGATGGCACCGTTACCGATCGAAAGGCTTTCTCCCCATCTTCGCTCGTTCAGCTATGTCGGAGTCGATTATTTTGGACCCATTGAGGTGATTGTTGGACGCAGTCGGCAGAAAAGGTGGGTTGTTTTGTTCACCTGCTTGGTAGTTCGTGCAGTACATCTCGAGATTGCGTACGATCTGTCAGCAGCCTCATGCCTTATGGCCATCCGAAGACTCGTGTGCCGCCGTGGACCTCCACTGGAATTCATTTCCGACAATGGCACCAATCTGAAAGCAGCCAGCAAAGAAATCATCGAGAAGATTCGTTTCATCGAGGAAGAATGCGCCGAAGCAGTTACCGATGCCCGCACTAGGTGGAAATTCATCCCTCCTGCCACTCCCCACATGGGAGGCTCTTGGGAGCGCCTCGTCAGGACCGTGAAAGACGCTCTAAGAGCGTTTGACGATGGAAAAAGATTGACTGATGAGATCCTACAAACGTCTATTGCGGAAGCGGAGGATCTAGTCAACTCTCGTCCCCTTACATATGTTGCCGAGGGTTCGATCGACGCGCTAAGCCCTAACCATTTCTTGAAAGGTGTGTCACCGAACGAACCACTCATGGTTCCCCCGCCGCCACATTCTGCTGAGGCTCTTCGCAATGCCTACCATCGGTCACAGCAGCTGGCCGAAGAGTTATGGAGACGATGGATTCAAGAGTATGTGCCAATGATCAATCGACGTAGCAAGTGGTTTAGCGAGGCTCAACCATTGAAGGTAGGCGACGTGGTTTACGTTGTGGATGGCAAGAACCGGAAGCTGTGGGTTCGCGGAATCGTTGAGGAGCTGATAACATCCAAGGATGGCAGGATTCGGCAAGCTTGGGTCCGAACCAACAGCGGTGTCTTCAGGAGGGCAACAGTTAAGCTAGCGGTTTTGGAAATTAATGGTGGTAACGCTGGACCGGATGAAGGGATCGGACCAGGATTACGGGTCGGGGATCTGTTGGGAGCAACACCGCTGGGCTTACCTATTGCCCCTGGAGAAAAGTGCGATCGAGAGAGTGACGGACCGATTTGACTCATACAGATAAGGAAAATAAAAATTTGGACTGTCAGTCATCGAGATCAAGTTCATCATCAAATTGCAAGTCACGCGGTTCAGGTCGAAGGTTTAATATTAAAATTATCACAGTTATTTGAAATTCCTAGTTCTAAATTTGTTATTCTAGTGAAAATCAAACAGATAAAATTCGACGGCTACAGAGGTTAAAATCACACATAAAAACAAGTAGTACGAGGGAAATTTGTCTACAGGAGGAAAACTATCTCTTTGATCTGCTCAACAAGAGTTTGATACGAAGATTGTTTTACGTGATCCGAACACCTCCCCTTGGCTAGTTTTTAACCTAGACGTTGGTGGGCGGGCCTAATCTTATGCTTCATAGTGGATCGTTGGAGACGGTTGGTTTAGGTCCGACATCGTTGGCTCATTCGATGGCAGAATAGCGTCATGAGCATGCGATGAGGATTACTGAGCTTTCCCTCTCTGATGAACCACTGCATGAGAAAACCAAAATCTAGTCTAGCAGTGATAGTATCACCAACAGTATCACACTTGTTACTCCTTTGTTTGAGAGCCGCGTCGTAGTACGCATACGTATAGGCACTGACGGTGGGTGCGATACTGGCGGGTTTTCCGCAAATCACTCTTATTTTATTTATTTTTACACAGATAGGTAGATTTATTTGGGTTTGCACGGGAATTATACTATTGAAATATTTCAGAAAGTGCCCAACAGTGCTCCTTCTATTTGCGTGACAAGCTTTCATTGATGTTTTCATTAAAGCATTACTCAGGGAACAATGTTAAACACCATTTTTGTACATGATATTGTAACTAATCTTATACGTGCTTCATTTTGATTTGGTATAAATGTTTGAATTATGGCTCGGGATTTCCACTGTGGCGTGCTTTTATTGTGACATACCGATACGTATTTTTGTAGTGCGACATAGTGGACACGTGTGAGTGTAGTTGGAGCATAATATACCCTATGTAATTTAAAAATCAGCTAGGAAACTAACTTCAAAGTGAAACATTTTAGTCACTTGAAGGTGTCACCTGGGACGAACTAATTTATAATAAATATAGGTCCAAATCAAAAACAACTTGAAACAAGTTAAATTTTAGATTACATGCTCAAGTGCAGGTACTTAATAAAGCATGGGTTATAATTGATTAGGTAGATTAGAGATTTCAATTATTTATTAAATAAGGATGAGATTTCATAATCATGTGGCTAGGAGGAAATTTGAATGCCGGGTTAGCCACCATTCGGTACACATTGCACCAGTTGACAAGACATCGAACTGATGTTAAAGAAAGTGACAGTCGTCAATCAAACAGATCCAGAAGTAGATTTTAAAATCCTCGGCATACGATAGTCGTAGTCGTAGTCACGGAAGTAAAGTAAGAAGATCATCGGTCCGGGGTGACTTCCTAAAGGTATCCCCGATGTGGCTGAGTAAATATCAGACCGGCATTCACCAACGGCAACCATCAGCTGACGATACGTACAGTGATTAAAATAATGGATTTTTTTCCTGTGCGTTTTAAATTCCAATTCCTGATTGTCCTCCTACGTCTGGTACTGAAAACTGCTAATACTTTCATAACTCCGTCATTTCTGAACAGATTTTTTATCTATCCATCTAAAAAGAAAATCGCAAACTAGTCAAAGTTTGGTAAGCTTTAAGGGTTTTACAAAAAGCTTATTCTAAAAATATTATGAATTGAAATAGGGTCGTTTTTTGACGTTGGGGTTTAAGAGTTAATGAAGTGTCTCCTTTAACTTACCTTAATACACTACATCTTTGTATTTCTTTTAGGATACCGAAACTAACTAAAACAACGAACCTCGAAGAGTCATCGCTGGCATGAAGAGTGATATCAGATGTATATGTACAAGCTATCGAGCAGAAATCGTCGTTAAATATCCTAAAAGATTAAAATCAGTCACACAAGTATTTTTTTTTCCGATTTGAAATGTTGTATTAAATAATAATAAATATACTGTCAAAAAATCTATGAGAAGCAAAACATACAATTACTGTAACAAGGCCCCATGCGTTTAGCGATAAGCAAATCTATCTTATTTGGCGCTACGAGGTGCATTTCTGTGACATTACACTACTCAGAATCAGACATTCGATTGATTGTTTTCAATTGGTACGCTTTCCACTGTATTTTCTGTACAATTACAAGAAAATATGTCTCAATAAATGGTAATTTATTTTGTAACAAAACAAAAACTCATGTTCATTAATTTGCTCCTGCCATTTCGACGTCATCCAAAACTAAGTCGTCCAACATTTCTTCCAGTGTAATTCTGGGAACTGACGGATCTGGCATGTCGTTTACATCCACCGGAATGGTCTTCGAACTGTCCTTGAAAATGTTCACATTTTGCCGCAAATCAGCATCTTCCTCTAAGTCCTCCAGGAATTCATTGTAGTCATTTTCGATGTCCGTATCAAGAGCGACATCTTCGGTAAGATGTTTCAACTTCCAATTTCTCGTCTGCTTCCTAGCAGATTTATCGTAGTACTTCTTGATCAACAGAAGATCAGGAACGGAGTCCTGTTTAAGTTTATCAAACTCTGTATTATTAATATTGGCATCCTGTAGATCGAACCCCATGACGGAATCTCCCGGTTTTAGCAAATGACCCAAATGGGAACGTGTGTGAATCGTATTCTCGTTGATTCCCAACTCGGAAGCCTTTACAACCCACACGTCGGCTATGATGTGTCGGAATGAAACCGGGCCTTGACCAGGAAAGTTTTTCTTCTCATTATCTCGAACTATTTCAATATCCATCACGATAAACTCAACCATTTGTTTAGGATTGCAGATAGCCTCAAATGGATTCTTCCAGAATGCCATATTTTGAACTTCTGCCATCTGAGCTGTTCGTGGATCGATTAAATGGACTGAATTGGCCACTTTGGCAACCAAGCAGATTGGTGAAATATGTCCAAGTTGCTGTTGGAGTTTTTTGTTTAGGCAAACCAAACTTCCTTTAGAAATCGGAACAACATCAATTGCATAGGAATATTTATAATTGTACGAGTTGCTATGGATGTCGTGCGAAATCAGCTTCTTCGAATTGGTGATTTTTACCGGAAGTACTGCTTGTACGAAATCGACCATTTTTCTAGCATGAGCATCCGTAGCATAGTAAAAGTCCAACCCTCCGGAGGGTGATGGCTTTATTCCCAGCGTGTTCTCGTGTGCCTTGTGTTTCAGGATCATTTGTTCCAAATAGAAAAGTGTTTTCTTATTGGTGGCTTTCTGACGAACCTGTACTAAACAGCGCCAGAAGTCCTTAGCTTCGGTTCGATGACAGTCATCACACATCTGGTTATTCACAGTAAATTCCACGACAAACACCTGCTGCAGTACCACTCCATCCATAACTTGTCCATGAACCGTTAGCTTTACCTTTATTCTTTTAGAATGCGGTTCCGTCCAAATGAAACCAGCATCAACAAGCTTGACCTCCTTCAAACCTTTTAGACGTTTCAAACACACAGATAGCAACTCCTTAGATTCCAAAGTGCATTGAACCCATTCGCTCGGTGGATTCAAGTAGCGTTCGCAGTTTCGGCAGAAGAAAATCACTGCCTGTTTGGGAATATTGGCCGTTATGTCTACATGGGTCCGCAGGCAAGCAACACACATATTGGACGGGTTCGGCTCGATAGGAGTTCCGCACTCACAGCAAAGACTGGAAAACATACAAAACTAGGTTATGTATCGAATGAAGGAAAACACGAGTTTTTCAACTTACATTCTGTTTTTTGCCGGATCTGATGGGACCATCGCGGAGTCATCACCGGTATTCATATATTCCATGATGGCAAAGAGGAACAAGGCCGGTTTCCACACGGAATTAATATAATTTTACGTGAAAACAACGGAGCAAATTGCTCCACGAGAAACACGTAAACACGAAAGGAACGATAAGTTTAGTAGATTCGGCACAAAAATAACGTCAACTGTCAACTGTCAAAAATCCCACTGACTGGCCGGGCGAAAATTTAACATTCTGGATCAACAATAGAAAAGGGTCCATCAGCATTTGTAAACAAACCGTTCCAAAGCCCATTCCTCACATATTGAAGGCCACCCACACAAACCAACACCATCATCGTGTAGGTAGAAGTTTCCTCTATCCAATGATGGTGTTGGTTTGCGTGGGTGGCATTCGGTTTGTGAGTAAAGGGCTTTGGAATGGTTTGTTTACAAATGCTGATGGGCCCTTTTCTATTGTTGATCCAGCATTGAGCGGGATGAAAAGCTGATCGTCCGCCGTGCGGATAAAATGCTGTCAACCTCACTAGAGTTAAGCGCCAGGCTAACAAAAAATGGCCAGCCATTTTTTTTGCGGCGGCTGATAACGACCAAAAAAAATAATTTTAATAAAACAACCCTAATAAAAAATAACCATAAACGAACGATAACCCAAATCATTGAACTATTCCACAAATGGTTTGGATGATACCCAGAACACGTCGTTAAGCAAATTAACCATACAATTTTTATTAGGGAACGAAATTACAATGATTTTTACTGTTGAATTTCGAGTACATTAAAATTTATTGTTAAATTATTGTACGGGAGAAAAAATAAATTTCGATTTTTAACGATACAATGCTCAAACAACGAAAATTAGTGTGGTGAGATCAAATTTGTTCGAGAAAAACCACTTTTTTTACTGTTAAGATGTTTAACAACCCCCTTTTTTACTGTAAATTTGTCAAATACCATGATTTTCATTGTTGTGAACCATGAATTTTGTTGTGATTTTATAGTAATGGACAAAAATGTCCAATGCTTTGACAGTAAATTTCATGGTTACAATGTCAATGGAAATCATTGTATTTTTAATGGATTTTTTTTTCGGGCGTGCACGAAACAAAAATCAATTAGGAGACGAACCAGCCCAGGGCTGGAAGTCTCCTTAATAAAGATATAAAAAAATCAATTATTTTAATCATGTGTTTCAGGGCTTATTTTTCAAAATATTTCGGGACCCGTTTTCTCATGTGGAAAATGATTACTAGGGCCAAATGAACAACATATCCACAAATGAGCGTTTTTCGTTAAGATTTAGAAGTGGCGCCAGAGGCCTAAGTCCAATATATCAAAAGAAGCATTAAGAGCAAATTTTCATTATGTCGTAAGTAACATTCGCACCAATCCGAGAAAAATAAAGTTTTGTTTTGATGACCGAAAAGTTATTCCTATTTCCAAGTAAGCACATATAATCTCATAGTGATAGCAATGTTTAACATATTTAGTAGAGTTTTAATCATACAAATGCAAATCGCTAGCTTTCATGCTAAGAAATACTGGTTTTTGAGTCAAAAGTTATTATACGTCGTTTGGTGGCCCCTATTGTTACTTAAGTCAAAGTGTATTTACCAGGATATTCGGGAGAATTATCAATTACGTCTGCTTACGTGCAGCCCATTCATCATTTTAGGACCACCGAAATCATCTTAGCAACAAACAGTTCGATTTATTCACTTTAATAATGAGAAAGCGAAACGACGTACGTACACTTTTCACGGGTTTCTCAGCGCTGTTACTTAAGTCAAACGGCATCTCCATAGAAATTGGGTGACTTAAGTAACATCGAAAACTATTTTGATCGGAAGGCGATTACGTCAAAAAGCAATTTGACTGGTAAATAAATTTAAAAATGGGATTTGATCCTATATTCGGACAGTATATAGTGTAATAGCAGGAGAATCGATTGACACTGATAGCTCGACTTTGTTTACCTTTGTTACATTCGACGTAATGAAAATTTGCTCTTGATTTTATTAATGCTTTATCTTTGAAAAGTGAACCCCACACGGTAAGAAATATTGTCAATGTGTTAAATTTCCATATCGGTGATCCTCGGCAAGAGCAATCTCTCCCAGCTTTTTTTATTTATTGATTTTTTTGCAAAACAAACTTATACCCTTACACACTTGAGAGATCCGAGTAGGCTCTGCCCGCGAATGGTTGGTTTTGTTTTCGCTGGCGCTGATTTCATCTGTTTTCCGCATATTTTTTAATTGTACCAAATCAAAAAAATATTAGTTTTCGCGTATGGACAAGTGTAAATAAAGATCTATCACGTTTTAAGAAGCTTGTTTAGTGATATTGTAATTAACGTGGAAGCAACAGAAGATTTAACGCTATCTGCGTTGTTCGATTTTTTCTCCCGGTCCAGAAATTTGTGGCATCGCGAGTGATAATTTTAATTTTAGTTTATTTACGCGGTGATAATGTGGGTTTACTCGCAACTATTTTTGAAGTGTTTTCGAACGAAAGTGTACCATAAGTGCTTCTGAACGTGTTTCGCAGTTGGGTGTGGTGAAATTCGTGCATCCCCATTTGATTTTGGAAATCCGTATCACAAAATTGCCCACCGATTCCTTTTTTTGCCGTTCGACGATGACGGGTGTGCTTTCGCAAGAGTAAAGGCCGGCGCACAATAGATACGTTTTCAAGTTTTTTGACAGTTAGCCAAGGCATTATCTGTCAAAAAACCCGAAAACGTATCTATTGTGCGCCGG